TCTCCTAATACCATCAATGATATTTTGCATTACAAAAAATCTGACAGTATAATATAATCTATAAAAATAACTCCCTTCCCTCCTAATTCTCTCTCACACAAATTGCAGTATTTCTAATTATATACTGTACTAAATATCTTTCAAAAATTAATTAAAAACTATACGAATGTCTGTAACTGAAAGAATAATCCTACATTAAATAAATCAATAAAAATTACCATGAGACACATGTGCAATTTTTAGATAGCATCACAGAGGTAATGCTTTCCCCTCCAGGGCTTTATCACTGGTTTGATAAGCCTCTGGCGAGTGAAAAGTTTCCTTAATATGCAGTTACCTAACTGCACACTTGTCTTTACAATTGTCAGTATTATATACCTTATTTCAAATATACAAAATACAGCTTCTCCTCACTTAGCAATGTACTCGTTTACCGACGACTCGGACTTACGATGGGCACTCTGACCAGTATGCATACCTAAATAATGTATATTAGAGCTGATTTCCTCTACTCTGTTTATTAAAATATACAGTACACTACTGTATAAACATTTGAAAATATTTCCAGAAATGTTATAAATGGCACAAAGGTGACATTAAAACAATATCAAGGATGGTTGACATAAACCCCCTACCATTATAGTATGCTCCTCACTTAGCGACGAATTCGTTTACCAACGAGGTCTTAGGAACGAAACTCCGTCGTTAAGAGAGGCTGTACCAGTAAAAAGAGTAAATTCAGCAAATGAGTTGGATACTCAATAATTTAATTATCTAATAATAATAAAATAAATAATTTAAAAAATAATGATAATTTCCCCATATTAAGGAATGGGAAACAGACTGGAGTTTGTAAGAAGTCTTAGTTTAGGAGTATATGAAATAAGAGGACATTGATGAAATTTTGCAAGACCTTAAAAAAATAAAAACTTTAAGAGCCTAAACATACTGTAACTATGTAGGATTTACTTAAATTGCATCTGATATGTGTACAGTACATACTTTCAAAAGTAATAAAACCCTAGGTTGATGTTAAAGCACCAAAATATGGTAACCAAGTTTGAAAATACAGGAAAAAAGATGCACTAAGAAAATGGCAGTATGCTGTTTGTTAGCTTTAGAGATTATTGACTGCACAATTCATTAAGGCTGCATTTTCATGCATTACACCAATCAAGAATATGTCATTCTCTAAAACAAAAGGGGATTAAAAGTACTCTCTCAGTGTATATATATGTGATTGGAGAACTAAAAAGGACAGTTGAATTTTCTTATAGTGACCTCTCAACATATTACAAAAACATAAGAGCACATTACTGTGAAGAAAGACTAGAAACCTCAGATGCTTTGAAAAACATATTTTTTAGTCAACTTTCATGACATAGGTCAGTGGTTAATAAATAATTTAACACAAAATGTACACAAACGAAAATGTGAAAATGTATTAATGTGACGAAAGTGAACTGTATAAAAAATGCTCAAAAGTAGTTAATGGAAGGACAGCTTGAGGTGATAGCAGTTTATATATGTATTTAACAGTGTACATGATCACTTCTATACACAAAAATACAACCGCTACTATTAAGTGACACTTGGGAATTTTAAAAGCCAAGGCATTTAAAATGCTTACGTATATAAAACTTCAGAATCATTTGAAAATCATAGTTTAATGTAATTAGTTTATGTAAGCTATCACAAGAAAACCTCTAGACTATTTTCCTTCAAGGCAAGGGTGGGGGGGGGGCCGGGACTTGACGCTGATGAAAAGCTTTTGATCAAAGGAACTGGAAATACTGTACCTCTTTCCTCAGATCAAACCTAATTACTATGCCCTCAATTCTTCAGGTAGTGTATGGCTTATGGGTTTAACAATTCTAAATGAAGTTAATGACAATCTTAACTTTTTTTTTACTGTATTAGGTACATACAGTAAATAACTCTCGACAACTTGTGTTTTACAGTAATAGCCATATGTCACATTAATGAAAACACACTTAAGACTAAAATCTTGTTTACCATCCTACTAGAAAACGGTATGGATTGGAAAAAAAAAGGTAAATATACTCTATGTATATCACATAGTTAACAGAGTAAAGTGGACATGAAGGAGCCCCATTATCTCCTTCATTTAAATCTTTCTATCATAAAACAAAATTTATTGTGCAAGAGTTGGAGTACTCTTAAATCTAAAAAAAAAAAAAAAAATGCAACACTCTTAAGAATTAACAATCAGATCAAAAATTATTCTAAACTAAGTTAACAATATCTTACATAAAATATATAGGCTTCTCATAAAAGTAAATAGATAATCAACATTGTAAGCTCCTCTGAGAACTTGGAAGAAAACAGTGTGATACCTTTAGTTAAAGGCTTTTAACTATCTAATGTACGCTGAATGACCCACATGGGTTTAGCGCTTGTTTTGAATACATTATAGTAATAGCTAACCTAACCTGATATGTCAAACAAAATAGCAAAATGACCAAGTCTTAGGTTTTACTGGCACAAAGGTACATAACTGACCTGATATTCTGTTGGCGGGATGTACATCCCAAGCTAGGCACATACACTTCAATGACATAATTACATCTCATTCAGTGTTGAAATTTATGCTCTAAACTACTTTCATTCTGTACTAAAGACTTAGAGCAACCTACTAATCCTCTAGGATTACACCTAATGAATTGTATATCTTATTTAAACAATGTATGGTTTACAAAATGATAAACAAAACATCTGTACCTGACTCGTATTTTTTTTTGGATTTATCTTGTCTTAAATTTACCTTTAGCCTATCAATCCTAAAATAGTGAATATTATACATCCTCAGATCACATATGTTCTGCCAAGATCAATACACTTAAAATCAGAGGAAATAACTGTTCTGCACAACTACTGTGAATGAGTTATGAACAAGAGTATCTAAAGTATTAAGTTTGCATGTTACCCACATTATTCATGTCAGTGTTTAACCTCAAACCCAGAAAATTGCCTTACCTGTTCAGTATTTTTCCTGTGACTGTTTTACAGCTTTTCTCTATTTTCACAGCCTAGCTTGAGGCTAAGCCTCCAGCTGACAAGATTTATGAACTGCAAAAAGTGTCTCACTTTCAAAAGTCAAAATATTTACATGAGGACGAGGTATTTACAGTAAAACATGCTGTATGACCAACACAGGTTTAGAATATTTTTGGGATGATAATTAAGACAGCTTGTGGAGAAAGCATGTAGATGACGTTAAAGTGTTGGAGTGTTTATGGATCTTAGGAAAGCATGTCAAAGTGAGACAAAGAAAGAAAAACCTTGCATATCTTTCTGCTTTGCAAATGCTAACTTAATGAAACTCATACCAACCATGCTGACAACAGATAATGAAGTTGAGGCCATACTGCTTTATGGCAACAAGACTACAGAAGAGTTCAATTCTGTTAGAGTAATAAATACAGTAGAACCTCGGTACGCAAACAGCTCCCTACTCAAAGCTCAGCACTCGACCAAACAAACACGACCTGCCGGAACTTTACTGTAAACTATTTCGTGTTTCTTAGCATTTTTTGACGTTTTTTTTTTATATTTGTATAAGTAAGTCACCAAGGGACTTACGAAGATTAGTGATAACAAGCAATCAAAAAGAAAATTGGTTGCAAAGAATTTGTTCAATACTCTAATGGATCAGCACCCGAACAGCCTTCTGGAATGAATTATGTTCAAGTACCGAGGTTCCACTGTATAAATATTCATGTAAAGTTTTTAGGCTTGTCAACTGACTTTTGTGTCACACAGCTGAGGGAAATGTTTAAATGAAGTGTAGTTTTTATAAATGAAACAGAGCATGTATCTGTATGATAGTTCCAGACTATGGAACTGAACTCCCAGGCTGAGGGACTGACAACTTCAAATCTACAACTTCAAGGGTGATGGACTGATTACATCATCTTCACATCTCTATGGTTCCTGCATACTTTCTGTATTTGACTGAAGAAGCCTACTGTGTAGATGAAACGTTTCGGAATAAAGTTGCCTAACTGTTGCCTATGTGTCTTACCTACCAACCATGAAGGAGAGTAACCAATGTGACAAGAATGACATACAGCATGTGTATAAATAAGTGATGGACCCAGTGACTGATGTGACATGAATGTAGCAGAGCATCTATGTGAATGAGTGGTGTACAATGACTGATTCAAGATGAACATAGGGCAACATCAAAGCTGTGCAATGTCTTTCATAGTTGTTCAATATGACTGGATAAAAACTGAAATATAAGAGAAACTGTTAGAGAATAATGTGAACCTAGTACTTCATAGGAGTAAATGCAACACACCATGTAAATCTTTGAATCTTGTAACAGTTTTTCTGGCAAAATGTTTGTGTATAAGAAGACAATGAATGTACATGAAAGTACAAGCAGGTTAATGATAATGAAAAAAGAAGGAAATCAGTGTAAGTGGAGAAGTACTGAAATCTGTCAAACTTAAATATCGGTGAAGAAATGATGTGGGTGAAGTAAAAAAAAAAACACTAGTTACAATAAATGGGGATGCAGGTAGTGGGTTGACTGAAGGAGTGATTGTTCAAATTTTCTTGAATGAATTATTATTATTTTATCTTGTATAAATCACTGAGGAATGAACATAGAATTATGAGCAGGATATGAGCAAACTGATGGAGAAATGGATAAAGAATCCTTTCTCCATAAGCCATGTGTGTTGTAAGAGGCGATTAAAATGTCGGAACCAAGGGGCTAGTAACCCTTTCTCCTGTACAATTACTATATATAAAAGAAAAAAAAACAAAGAAAGTGTGCTTTCATTTTTGGGTCACCTTGCCTCAGTGAGAAACAGCTGGCGAGTAAAAAAAAAAAAAAAAAAAAAAGAGCAATCTGAGAAAAATGTGTAGAAGTAAGAGGATTGTGTGATATATAGAATGCAAAACAAAACTGACTAGCAATGTTGAGAAGTATGGTCTTGATTATAGTGCTTCCCCCACTATGAAAGTGCATAATACAAGTAATGATAAATTGCAAAAACAAACAGGAAAGCTACCCCTCCCTGCTTTTTTTTTTTTTTTGATCAAACCTGGTTACTTCCCATTCCCCAGGCACTGTATGACTCCTACAAGTTCAGCGCTTTCTCTTCAATATAATAATGAGGGCCAGAGAAGGAAACGTTAATATATATGGTGAGCGTGCAAATACATCCTATGCAAATGAAGTGCCAATGACCATGAATTTGTGGAAGCCATTTGTTAGGAGGGAATGAATGGTAATTTATTTTATGACAAGCCATGTATATTACTTGACACTTAGTAAATAATATGGCTGAAATACTAGCATAGATATTTTGCAAGTGTGATAGTTCATGTTGTGGTGCTGAAGTGCGTGGAAGGGTGTATAACAGCTTGGACGTTTTGATCTCTAAATCTTTAACCATCTTATCTATAAATTTCAATTTCTTAGCAGATATTTATCTGCCCCACGAAAATGGTAAATAGGGCAATGGTGGTGGTGATATTCATAAAATGTTTTTGCCCAAGTATGTTTTATGGAAATGTATTTTCTTATATTACCTTTCTGAAAATTATGGTAACAAGATGAAATTGACCCTGAGTAGCCTTCAGGCAACCGTATCTAAATTATTTGGCTCGTTCTATACCCCATATACCTAACACTCTGAGCCACCTACATGCTCTTCTGTATCTTAAAAGACAAAATCAGTTGTCTTCTCCAGATGTTAAAACTATCATTTGTACACCAAGTTGCTTTTTGCCATATCTAAAGAATTGCACTGTGAGGTTCAAAGCTAGAAGTTATACTGACTTTGACAGGAAGACAAAATTAATTGTACACACAACTGTGGTGATTTGTCAGGAAATGGGGCAATTGTTTCCGGACATGGGTCTTGAAGTCATATTATGACCTGTTAATTAAGTTTTGATGATATGACACACTTACCGAAGGACCAGTAAGCCTGTGAATATTGTGTTAAGATACAATGAATATTGTTAGTTCTTAAAAATGAGAATCTCAAAATACGATTTACTATAATACCAGGGGCCAAACCGCTATACTTGCACTAAGTTCACAATTGTAGACTTGCAACTGCAAAGGACACCAAGTTGGTCCCCAGTACTTGTGTAACAAGTACCGGGGATGCAAGCTTGGGTTTTCATACTACTATTGACCATAATAATTTTCACTTACCTATACTGGTTGTAGAATACATTTTCTGGCACCAATTAGCCTTGCCCATAGCCAACCATTGTAACTACCATTTGAGTATGATAGTTAAGTCTAAGGTGTTGACATGCCTGGCCAAACTTGTAGATGACCATACAGACACATTCAATGATGTGACATATTTGCTTTAGTTGCCCTTCTCACAGATGGTCCAACTTTTGCTGTAGATTCTGTGGTTTCTACATCAATACTATTTTCTTTATCAATTATAATCCATATTCATTGAGCTAATACCCTTTCTTCAATACCACCACTGCACACCCCCACCATTTATTTACTTACGTGCCAAGCGATGCTGTATGATCGTTATGGTCTAGCACTTTCTCTAAATAATTCTAATACAATGGTACCTCGAATTTCGAACAGCTCCCAAATCGAAAAATTATTTAAGTGTATTTTTGGGGGTCTGAAACAGACTAATCTAATTTACATTATTCCTTATGGGAAGAAAATTCGTTCGGTATCAGCACTTTAACAGCCTTCTGGAATGAATCAAGTTCATAACTTGAGGTACCATTGTATGTATACATAACATTATTTCTTTATGAAAATATTTCATCTTTTTCAGGTCACCCTGCCTCAGTGGGAGATGGCTAGTGGTAAAAAAAATTATTATTCAACAGCTGACCATGGGATGAAGTCACTTCTCATGGGTCATAAATACAAAGTTTTGGTCATAATTTGAAATAGCCCCATTAGCGGAACGCCAAGGCGAAACGCTGTAAAGCAGAGCCCTACTGTACAGTAAGCCCTAGATATAATGGACTAATAGAATATATAAAAATAGCAAAATGAAAAGCATTTAAGTACTCTACTGTATACCTAATATAGGATTGTACACAATAAACATTGAAAATTTAGTTAAAAAATTTACCCAGTGGATTTTACCCATTTTAAAAGCACATTTTATCAAGGGATTGTTGTATTACTGAGCTAGGTCAACAATGGCATATTTTAATAGTCAAAAAAATGTTCTGTCAGCAGTACTTTACATGCCCAGTTCTATCTTTCAGTAGCAACCCCAGTACTGTGGTGGTGGTCTTGATTCACTGTGCATGCAGCTTTTTCATAAATCTAAAACTCACAGATTCATATCTGCTTTTAAAGCAGAGAATACTAGCAGAGTACTGATAATGACATAATTTTACTTTAGACAGATCTCTACAGTACTTCAAACTCCCCAAACACTCAATTTTTCCATGTTCTTGTCAGCATTACCAATACTGAAAGCTATGGAAGGACTACTGCAGTCCACCCATTTGAAGTTATGAATGTACCAAAGTGGTTGCAGGACATGGAGGGAATTACAATGGTTATACCCAATATCCAAAACAACTGTTTGTATTATCCAGTTGGCTAATATGTAACATTTATATTTATTCATGAGCTACAATGCAGTCTCAAAGGTCAGATTCTATCACTTCAAGAATGGCTTTACTAAATATAGCCTAATACAGAATATATTTATCTTAACATTGTTGTTTATCACAAATGCAATTCTTACAAAGCAGGCAGACACCTGGAGCAAAGAACTTGCCTCAGTGTATGTGGATTTAAAAAAAAAAAAAATCAGTAACCCAGACCATCGCTTTACATCAGATTCTATAAAAAGTATCACCACACGATCTGAAAAATTAGATACAAAAATAAAAAAAATCCTGTATATTGTACCTACAAAAAATATTAATACAAATAAACATTGTCAACTGTTAAGAAACTTTTCATGACAGTTTTTTGAAAGGGGCTTCAGAGTTTAATTGAAATAGTAAGGGAAACTGACCAAGTTAGACATGCATGGCATGACACTGCTTTTGCAATGCAAAAAATTTTTTTCAAATAACTTGAAAGTAATGTCTAACTTTATATCCAAATCATATTTTGCAATGTTTTGTTGTCTTACCATATTACAAAAGTGTCTAAAATTAAATGTGTACTACCTTCTTGTTAGACTAAAAAATTTACAGGGAGTTATTCTTGAGATTCCAATATCAGTTCAGATATTCTACTCACACTGCAACTCGTTAATGTCACTATAGATCCCATGAGAAGAGATGGTGTTTGACAAGCATGTCACGCACACCTTCTCGCAATGGTCGCTGGTCTTGGTTTGGGGGTGGTGGTAGTTCCCAATCTGGATTTAGAGTAAATGGGAATTGAGCTAACACTCTAAGTTCACATTTGATCTGCACCCAGCCTGGCGATCTGAGGAAGGACCATGGTTGATACCAGCGTTCCACCACATCTGCACTTGAACACAACACCTCCAGCCACAAGTGCAGAACCTGCAGATAATAAGCGACATGTACAAAATCAATTTCACACAAATCCCCCATCAAGGGGAAATCATGATGCTGGTGAAAGGCTGTGGAATCAAGACATTAGAATTACCCTCCTTTTCCTTAGATCACACCGGATTACCTTTCATTCACCCATCAATGCATTACTCAGCCTAATGGAAATTTAAAATTAAATGAACAATTATGCTTAACCATATTTGTTTGAATGAATTAAGTTGAAGACAGTTTGCTGTACAGTACTGTATAATAAAGATCCTTGGCTTATCAATCACAGAAAATGAAATTAAATATAAAATAATGATTTTATCTGTTTTAATTAAAGTAAAGCAAAATTAACACTAATGCTAAAAATACTCGTTATAATCTTAATCATACTCACTTGTTCATTGAGTCCCAAACATGTTAAAGAGCGTAGTTTAACATCCATCTGTGCATGTACCGCATCATGACTCATGTTGATGGCTTGAACACATCTGTAGAGAAGCTGTTAAAAAAGTACAACCTTATTAGGTCTCGCTACCAGTTATGGGAAAGTACTGCTTTTACCAATCTAAGAGCACCCCCTGCAAGTGAAGGAGGTGACAATGCTGGTGAGGAACATTCTGAGCCAAGGAACTGAAGGCATCTTTCCCTTCCCTGGATTAAATCCAATTACTTCTCATTCCTCAGATTCTGTACAACTCTTACAGGTTTAACTTTTCCTTGTAAATATAAAAATAAAATAGGGAGCAACTTCTTCACACATCTCAGCTAACACTTCCTGCTTGCATATTGCCTCACTTTACCCACTTCTCTCCTCTCCCTTTCCCTTACTTATGCATTATTTCTCAATTCTATCCTTGTCAACATCACTGCCATTTTTTTTATATTTATGATATTTACTTGCCTATTTACCATGTATGTTTTCAACTGAGATGGCCAGAAAAGATGCTTTAAAGTTTGAAAGTTAAAGATACAAAAAAGACAGCAAGGATTAAATAAATATATGTATTCTTTTATTTCAGGTATGTCTTGCTACATCTATTTACACTTAGGTCACACTACACATGCATGTACAGTGGAACCTCAAAAATCGAACATAATCCGTTCCAGGAGCTAGTTCTAAATTCGAAAAGTCAAATTCGAAGCAATATTTCCCATAAGAAATAATGGAAATACAATTAATCCGTTCCAGAAACCCAAAAATATTCACACAAAAAATACATTTTATAGAGATTAATTACAGTTTTACATACAACAAATACTATAGTTTTTAATTATGTATAGTAATACATATAAAATAACATTTTTACTTACCTTTATTGAAGATTGGTGATGGCATCTGGAAGATAGAGGGAGTTGGGGTTAGTGTTTGGAAGGAGAATCCCCCTCCATGAGGATTTCAGGTAAAGCCCTCTCTGGGGTTACTTCCCTTCTCTGTCTTTTAATGCCACTAGGACCAGCTTGAGAGTCACTGGACCCCTGTCTCACAAAATAACTGTCCACAGTCCTCTGTTTCTGGTGCCTCTTTAACATTTCCCTAAAATGGGACATGGTTCTGTCACTGAACTTGTTGCAAAGATGGCTTGTTTCAGTTTGCTCACGGTGGTACTTCTGCACAAACGTTTGCTCATGGTGGTACTTCTGCACAAGCATTTGGACATCATTCCACTTGGCACAAATCTCCTTAATCTTTGAAGAAGGCCCCTCATCCACTCCCTATATTAACACCTTTCGCAACATCAGCTTCCTTGATTTGTTCTTTCTTTGCCAGGATAGAACCAATGGCTGACTTTTTTCCCATACATCCTGGTAAGCTCAACAAGTCTCACACCACTCTCATACTTCTGCATTATTTCCTTCTTCACATCTATGGTGTTTCTCACTTTCTTTACCACAGGGGTACCACTAGCAAGTTTCTTTGGGCCCATGGCAGCTTATTTCACAGTCCCACAAGCACTAAACACAACGAAATAATCGTAAAATGTGTGAATGAGAGCGCAGGTTAGTGTTCACTCAAGCATAAACAAAGCTAGACTGCTCACGGCACCTGCGCGGGGACGCGGACAGAGCGGGCGGCAGACAGGTCCCGTACCCAGCGGTCCAAAAATAGGGTCGCATCCGATAATAGGGACACAGTTTGTCCGAAAAAATGGTCCTATTTTCGAAACGTTCAATATGTGATACGTTCGATTTTTGAGGTTCCACTGCACAACCATGTATATACATATATATATACACCCATTTGGGTTTTCTTCTATTTTCATAATAGTTCTTGTTCTTTATTTCCTTCTATCCACATGGGGAAGCGAAAAGAGTTCTTCCTCTGTAAGCAATGCATGTCATAGGAGGCGACTAAACTCCTGGGAACAGTATAAATTACTAAATATTATCTTTTTAGATCACCCTGCCTCAGTGGCATACGACCAGTAGTTGAAAAAGTCTATTCTTTTGTCTGTCTTGCAACACCTTGTTTACCCCCGTCTCCCCAAGAGTTCTGCATTAACGGTGGCAGGGGCAGCAAAAATTTCTAGTAAGCTCTTAACAATTTTGCCCTGTTTACCAACATGGGATCTACCCTATACCTAATCCTCCTTTTTTTTTCCATCTATGAAGTAAGCTCTCCACCCATCATCCTAACCCTTGTGCTGCATTCTTGCAATTTTTTCTTAAAACTCTTAACATTAGTCCTTTTCAGATATCCAAATCAATGTCTCTCTCTCTTTGCAGTTTCACCTATTTCAACATAGCTATTTTCTCATGTTTCCCCAGTAAATGTATTTTTATATAGGACAATTAAAAAACATGCATTAAAGATTTACCCCATTCCTTGATAGACTCCCACAGGTCAGAACTGTAAGACGTATACAGCCGCACAATCCTTTCTTTCCTCGTACTAAAAATTTTTTTTAAAATCGTATAGTTTTCCCTAGGATAAAACCCCTTTCCAAATCTAAAAGGGGCCCCCTTGACAAACGATTTTAAATCCTTTCCCGTGACCAAACTCATAACTAAATTTTCCCCAAATTCAAATAAAATTTTCCTCTTTTAAATTTAACTGAAATCCATTAAAATTACCCACGGTTTTCCTGCTCTGGGGAGGCAGGAAAATTTTTTTTTTTTTTTCCAAAACAAGTCGGCAGTCCCCCCAAACCGAGGCAGGGTAAACCCAAAAAAAAAGAAAGAAAATCCCCAAAAAAAAAATTACTTTAAATCACCCATTCAACATTTTCCCACCACACTCGCACATTATCACTTTTTTTTGCAGAGGTGCTCAGAATACAACTTTTTAGAAGCATTTTGGGTAAAAAGGGAGCAAAACACACCCCTCCAAACTGCCAATCCCCCCAACCCCTCCTTTAAAGTGCAGGACAAAATACTTCAATAAAACACTAAAATCAATTGTATGGCTTTTTTATCTATCCCCAATTGATCTAATATGACTAATAAAAAAATTATAAATAACAAAGAAACTGATAATACTCTAAATGAAAAAAAATGCCATCATGTGATGTGGTGGCAGCTATTCCCCCCCCCCTGCTCTGACCATAACCCTTTCCCCTGCCTTATTATAATATATACATTTCTTTAAAAACAATGGACCCCCGCCCTTCCCGTGGCTGCGAAATTTCCAAAGAAATCTGACTTTTTTGGGAAGTTTTTTCGGCAAAATTTAGCTTTGCGCTTCGTGATTGGACTTGTGATTCCCCGAACCCCTCCCGGGACGCGTCCGCCCGTCAGCAAGCACACAAACCATTTTCCCCCGCACTATTCCCCACCGGTGTGTCCCTTGTTTTCCAGTGCATGACCAAAACCCCCTGGGTTTTTTACAAACCCTTTCATAATAATCCATTTTTTTTTGTGCTTACAACTGCTAAATAAGCCACCAGGGGGCCCCAAAAAAAGCTCCTAGTGCCAGCCCTTTGGTAACCCAAAATTTAAAAAACACTATAAATTTAAAAAAAAAATCGTAGCAAAGTACCAAAGTGGGGGGGGAAGAGAGAAAGGGGGAATTGCCTTTTGCAGGTTTTTTTCTACGATAAAGATGATACTAAAGCAGTAGGGATCGATAAAGGCTATAAACTCCCGCCAGCGATAAAAAAGGGAGAATTAACAGTGTAGCAAGTAAGTTAAAGCAAAAGAAAAACGACTGAAAGTAAAATTTCCAATGGTTTTGGAAAGTGTAAAGCCCGCTGAACATTGCCGGCCTGCTATCCCTTCCCCCCACCCTAAACCCCTGGGCCCGCAAACTCCTTCAAACAAACTACCTAATTAAACTAAAATCTCCTTTAAGGAAAGTGTAAAAATAAAAGTTAATTTTAAAAGTTAAAAAATGTAAATATAAAAGGAAACCCAACCGAAATAAGTCACTCTTACTTTTCTGGGTTATCCTAGATACTTTACACATATGCTGCTATGTATGATAATTTATGTACGTAACTGTATTTGTGTATACCTGAATAAACTTGTTTATAAATTAAAATGTAAATATTACTTATTTATAAATTACATACATTGTTTAAGTGTGATAGTGTTGGTGGGTTCTGCTGGTGCCTCACCTCTACCACCACTGTACTGCTTCTCTCAGTGGCCCTTATAAACCCAACAACAACAATTCCATCACTTTACTCCTCTCATACATTATGACATATTTTATTCATTCTAGAGTATATATAATGTTTCTATGTTATTAATATTGTTCATTATGTCATATTAGATGAATTGTGATAGATAAATAATCCGTAGAGATGATATTAGCGTCATATTGAAGCATAAACTCGCGTCCCTCTCGCCTCCTACCTGTCTGCCATACACCAACAAGAGTCTTCAATAAAGGTTAAGTGTGATGTTAGATGTTCATTTATCCATTTTATTAGTGATTTATATTTATTTGTCATCGTTTTCTGTATGTAAATCTATATTTAATCTGTAAAAAAATTATTTTTTTTGTCAATACTTTTGGGTGTCTTAAACGGATTAATTGGATTTCCATTATTTTTTATGGGGAAAATAGATTCGCCAATTGTGAATTTCACCAGTCGACAGACTCTCTGGAACGGATTAATCAAGAAACTCGGAGGTCCACTATAAATAAATACAGAAGTGGAGAAGAATCCTTTCTCTGTAAACCATGCACGTCAGAAGAGGCGAGTAAAATGCCAGGAGCAAGGGGCAAGTAATCCATTCTTCTGTATAAATTACTAAATGTAAAAAGAAAAACTTGCATTTCTTCTTTTCTGGGCCACCTTGCCTCAATGGCAGACAGCCAGTGTGTTAAAGAAACATACATTATAATTTTGGCATCTTTTTAAATAACTCTTTTAGGGTAAGGGCACCTTGATGCTGGCAGAAGGCTGCTGGTCTAAGGACCTATAGCTACCCTCCTCTTCTTTGGATCACACCCGAGTACCTCCCACTTCCCATATTAATGGGGTGACCTTACATAAAGTTTTTCCTGTACATTAGAAAACTACAAGAGTATTAGATGTTCACTAGACCTCTTCTGGAGTTAAAACTTTGCCATCTTTAAATTAGTCGAAATGTGCGGCAAAAAACCAAAAGCGGGGGAAAAACAAAAGAAAAATCTCGCTCCATTTCCCTTAGCTCCCCCCTTAAAAATTTCTTAAATTAAACCCCATGGGGGGAATGGCCCCCCACCTGTAAAAAAAATATTTTTCAAAAATTAACCCCTAAAAAAGACACGGGCTGCTATATACACAGTAGGATTGCATGATCTGAATGGCTAAAACCAATATTGCCTTAACTTTCAAATCATAAAGCACATGAAATTTCAGGAAAAAGTGCAAAATGAAATTTTTAAATTCAGTATTTGTCAACGGGAAATTTCATAAGCATCAAAAAATTAAAACAGAAATGTA